CACGCCCTACATTTTATGGAAGAAGACTTAACGGCACAGCATTCCGCGGGTTATTGCACGTCTACTTTTCGAATGCTTATTTGTCTGCCGTGGTTTTACGTTCTACAACGGGGTGTCGCCATGCCGTGCACTGCGTGGCCGACAGCCGGCCTGTCTACCAGTCCTACCGTTACTGGACTACCAACAGGGATTGAAAACGTCCGATCACAACCGGTAACAGAGGATCAGAGAAACAACCATTGAAGCTGTTCCGCAAGCCACAGCAGTAGCCGAAACCAACAGAGCTCTACGCGCGAAAACGACAGCAGCAGGACATTGCAATTACCGGCCAGGGGATCTCGTGGACTACCACCGTCCGACCACCACTAAGGACGACTGGGGTGCATGGAACGGCCCACGCCCCATCGCCCGCAACTACCCTGACCGTGTACAGGCTGCAGCGCAGGTTGGCGGTCGGGAAGTCTCAGCACAGCATTCAGACTTACGACGCACATTATATCTTGAAGTCTTAATGGTCCGCGAGATGGGCCCGGATATTACGGCAATGCGAACGGCGTTGGCTTTTTTAAAATCGCGAGCTTACCTGCGGGGGAACCTGCCATGGTATTTGGCTCCTTGCCGACCATGCAAGGAAGCTTGCGGATGACGGCGACGAGTCGTCTGTCGCTCAAGGTACATGTAGCCTTACAGATTTTCATCGGAAACTGCCCCAGGATAGAAAACGTAGTGGCGGTGCGTTTGGCTAGAAGCGTCCACGGGTTACCGGCAGCACCTATGACGACGACTTCGTGCCATGCTTTCACTGTTATGAATTCGAAGGCACCGCTCTCAATATCCATGACATCACTGGAACCGCGCGCGCACGAAAATTCCAGTGTTTGAAGCCCTCGAAAGCTTCCAGAACCGTTAGCAGGCTTTGGCGAGGAACTTTCAAAGTTTGCAGGCCTTGCGGACGCGCCAGCGTCGGGCGGCCACGCCCAAGGAGAGGAGCGACCTCGCGCCGGCCGCGCTTGACGGCAGGCTACCGACCGTTGCTGAGGAATCAGAACGAACTTAGAAACACATTTCATGGAAACGTGGTGCGTCAAGCTCCAAGAGGAAAAGGAACTGCTCGAGCCACCCCCAAGGGAAACCTTGTGTTTTGTATCCACCGAGATGGGTGCAGGCGACCACGTGTTTGTGGCTGTGGCCAGCGAGGAGCAAGGACGCCTGCGAAAAAAAGGTCACGCTGGGAACCGTGACGCTGACGAAACCCTCCTGGCACCTTGGACCGCATAGTACGACGAGACTTATGGTCTCGATTCGGACGAAAACGGTAAGTATGTTAAGCTCTGCTTCACTACTGACTTGGCGTAAGTTGTTCTGTCAGGACAACAACGCGAGTCACTGCGCAACGACCAAATAAGCGCAACGCGCGTGTATGTTTTAGCCGGAGCTAGATGAGTGGCGGTCGTCGACGGATACGACCTCTGGACGAAGGCAGATATTAGAGATGTTGTGCACGGGGCTCAACATTTGGTATGATTACACATGCTTTAAGATGCAGGCCGTAAAAAATGCCACCAACATCGCGACCTTTGGACGCGCGTGCACGTGGAAGCTTGGCAAGAACGATTGAGGCGAGATGGAACGAACTATGCGACTACGCCTTGTTCATCGTGGCTTCATGGGCCTCGAAGCATTCGACGTAGAAACCCGTTCAGGCACAGCTCGTCGAGCAAGCCAGAGCCCTCTCGCCAGCGCGGTCGCGTGCGAGAAACAATGGGTCATGGCATCCATGGAAATCGATGATGCTTTCCTGCGAGGTGTGACCCATTGTGAGTTGGCAGAAGCCACCAGAGAGAAAGAGCGCATGGTCTGCTTTACTCTTCCACCTGCTTCAGCCGGGGTGCTGCGCGCGTTGCCCGGCTTCTCGCCCCATGACGAGACAAAGCATTATTGGCGATGTCTTGAGCCAGGCACAGGCGCCAAGTACGCCCCTATGGCATCGTCACTGAATCTCATAATTATCGCGCGAGGATTCAGGCCAAAAACTACGTCATACGATAAAGAAGTCCAGGCAACATCCATCATCTTCGCAGCCAAGCGCGTCGACGACATAAACGCGGCAGGAGTGGCGGGCGCGATTGACAAATCTGTCAGACGTGTAGAATGTACGTTCGGCGCAGGCAAACTAAACGAACACTGTGGCATCTCATTGCGCCGTGTGCTACATTAGGGCCGAGGGCGGCCGCGTCCTGCTAGATCAGGATGGGTACATGTAACAGCTTCGCCTCGTACATCACCCAGAACTGAAGGGCGCTGTGGCAGAAATTCAACGAAGACAGTATCCGACATGTGCATGAGTTTACGTGGCGCCTTGGCGCATGCACTACTCACTCAGGCGTGGTTAACGGCGCACGCGGCACCCTTGCAACGAGCACAGGGGCCCGCGAACCTCCAAGCACGAAGACTTGGCGCCGTCGCGCGCGAACTTCAGCGAGGTCCAAAGAAACGTCGCGCATCAATTCATTGACTCCGACAGAGGAAGGTAGCCTTCGCAGTGGCTCCAGATATCGCCGCCTCAATGGGGGCGAAGATGACGAGGTAAAGGGGTTTGACGTCCGAGGGGCCAACCTTTGACGGCGCTGGCGCGCGCCTAACGGCAAATCAGCGGTATATATGACCGGTGCATACTGCAAGTCGCATCGTTTATATGTGCGTTCAGCTACTCAGCTGAAGCGCTGGCAGCTGCTCATAATCTTGAGGACTGCTACCCTACCATAGTTGCGCAACATGAGCTTTAAGCCGGACTTCTAGCGCCCATTCAACTCAACAACATGTGTAAATTTGGCGGTTTCAGCATCGAGGCCATCTTTGCCATAGACGCTGATTCTTCCTTTAAATCCTTGTCAAGCAAGAACTTGGACTTGAAGGAGCAGACCGAATGCGCCCCACTGGGGCACATCAGCTGGATCAGACAAATGATGGGCCGAGGTGTTGTTCGTAGCGCGCAGTTGTGTGGTGCGCGGGACATAGCCGCTGACTGTCATGCCAGCAGGCGTATCGATCGGGCGTTACTGTTGCAAGTGATGGAGGGGAAACAGTCCTTTCGAACCCGAAGTTATAGACGCACGCGCCCCATCGAGGCAAGAAAGACACAGCGCAAACGTGGGGGGGCGGTGGGCTACTCAGGGCCAGCGGGTAGGAATGAGGGCGAACACTCAAACATGGACAAGTAGTTGAACTAGTTGCACTTGCCCAGCCACGGGCATGCACACCTAGAAGTAGTTGTCCTTGCCCGGCCATGGACGTATTTATCCGCAGCTACCATGAGAGCCTGGACGCGGGCATTTCTCCTTTCAGCTTTTTTGAGAGGTGATCTGACCGCTTGGCCATATTCCTTCGCGCGCTGCACGCTTCGACGCCCGGCCCACTGGCTGGACGCCCCCCCTCATTCTATGAGGGTAGTCACGCGGTCTTGCCCGTGACTGCCCATGATCGTCTGCGGCTTGTCGTAGGGCAATGCGCCGCGACTGGCCCCGATACTCTGCGCTGCTTTTTCTGTGCCTTGTTACTGCGCGCTGTTGGGGATGCTGAAAAACAAGATCATCTTCCTTCTTTGCTTTATTTAATTCGTTAGGGCTTTGATCTATCGTTCGGCCCCTCCCCTCCCAACTTTAATCGAGGTTTAAGCGAACGCTAATTCCGACGCTGCCTTGGCTCAAGACTGCGCAGTCCAATTTGCTAGTTGCGCGACCGCGTGCGACTCTATTGGGATCAAAGCATCATATAAAAAAGGCCACGCACATATGTGTATATATATATGTGTATAATATGATCCGCCCTTCTTTCCCTTGGCTTCTCTCTTACCTGTCGCCTTGCTTGCCATCGAGGGGTGAGTTGCGGGGTGCCTCGATGCGTCGCTGGCGTTATCCTGAGAGTAGGGTTCTCGGCGTATCACCTCGCGGCCAAGCCCTGTACCCTTGCTTTTCATTCTGGGAGCCTCGGGGAGCCGGTCGAGAACGTCAGCACAAACCTACGGGAAATCACGGATTTTGGCCTTTTGGGGTCCTCTTGGGAGGTCTCTTGGAGGCCTCTTGGGGCATCTTGGAGGCCTCGTGGGCCGTCTCGGCGCCATCTTGAGCGTCTTGGAACGAGCTTGCGGCGACTCGGGACGGGACCCTCCTGCAATGTCTTCGGGGCCTCTTGGAGCCCTCTTGGCCCGTCTGGGGCACCGCGGGCCCGAAAATATCACGCGACAAGAAGCCGGGAATTCCAGCGAGCCCGGAAGATTTTAAAACTTGGGGTTTGGGCTTTTTGAAACCTTCAGGATCGAAAAGTGTTGCTCTGGGGGCGTCCGCTCCGTGCCCAGCGGCACGGTGGCGGATAAAGCCAAAGCCTCTTGGGAGCGGCCTTCCAGTCAAAGACGAGTGTGCGCGGCACCAAAGCGACAACCGCATTACGAGAGCTATCCGCCTACCATCAGTTTGTGCTGGATGGAAGCGTGTATTGCCCATGTGCGCACCGTTGAGGCGTTGAGGTGTTCGGGCGAGAGCGGCAAGCGCCACGGCTTGCAGTCGGGACGCCCTTCATCCGCACATCTGCCGGGAAGTCCCAGCTTCAGGACCATATGCGGCCAGAGTTGGCCGGCGTCGCGTCCAATCTTGCGAGGAGGGGGAGGAAGAAGAGGAGGAAGAGGAAGAGGAGGAGGAGGAGGAGGAGGAGGAGGAGGAGGAGGAGGAGGAGGAAGAGGAGGAGGATGATGATGATGAGGAGGAGGAGGAGGATGGGGAAGAGGGAATTTTGAAAAAAGGGTACGGACGGACGGGACGGAGGATGTGAAGAGACAAAAAAGGGCTGGCGAGGAGGAGGCGGAGGAGGCGGAAAAGGAAGAGGAAGATGCGGGTTCATCTTCTTTTTTCTCCTCCCTCCCTCCCAGCCTTCTCTCCCCTCTCCCTTGCCCTACCTGTTCTGCCGCTGTTGCTGCCGCCGCTCCTCGTTCGCCTCCTTCCTGGCAGACGCCGACGTGCTCGAGGCGGTGTGGGACCAGCTCTGCGACATGTGCCACCCGGGGGCCTGCGTGCCCAGCCCGCGCGAGGTGCATCGGCGCCTGTCGCGGCAGGCGCCCGCCCTCCTTGCAGGGGAATGGAGAGGCGGGCCAGCACTGGGGGGCCCTCCGGTGCAGGAGGGCAATTTGGGCACCTTCGAGATCCTCCTCCCTCCTCCCTCCTCCCTCCTCCCTCCTCCCTCCTCCCTCCCTCCTTCCCTCCTCCTTTCTCCCTCCTCGTCCGAGCCTTCTGCCGTCCTACACGCACACCCCTCCAGCGGTGGGATCACATGTCTGAGGGGAGGCGCTAGCTCGCGTCCTTGCCGCCACTGCCACTATACGGCAGGGCCAGCCAGGCAATGGCGCGGGAGAGGGCTCGGTAGTGAGATTCTCTTCTTCTCATTTCAGTGTATGCAGCAGTGTTTCGGCGAGATGGTAGTGTGAGGGTTGGGGGGGGGGGCGCGGGTGGGGGGGGGGGGGGGAGGGGGCCCGAGTTTGCTTGCCTTTTGCTGCTGCTCCTCCGCCTTCCCCTCTCCCCGCTTCTGCCTTCGCTTCTGCTCGCTTCCCTTCTTTTCTTCGCCACGGGGCGACTTCCTGCGCTCCGAGGAGCTTCTGGAGACTCGTGCACTCGCCTCGGGCGGGGGAGACTCCGTGCGGCCAGACAGGAAGATCCACCCAGGCCTCTCAATGGGTTTCGGGACGCTCACGCAGCGCACTTTGGGTATTCCGGGCCGTCGTGTCTCGGCGATCCTTGATTCGAGAGGCTTGCGTCATTCCGCCGACCCCCATAAATGTGGATTCGTCAAGGGTTGTGCCACCGTGCCTGGCCTGTGGGTCAGGAGCCTCGGGGATGCATATTATGAGGGCCTCCTGGAGTGGCTGGACGTCCCGCCCGTCGCCGGCGGCGTCGTCGTCGTCGCTCAGGCACGCCGTCATCACTGCGCTTGTTCGACCAACTCGCCGTGCTGATCCTATCAGTAATATGGGAAACGGACGGGGTGGGAAGTCTTTTGGATGTGGGAGGGGGGTCGGTGGAGGGATCTGCGGATATCCGTAATCAGAGTGATGGGGCCGAACGGTCATTCATTGTCCCTGGGTGCGTGGCCGAAGTGAGAATCCGTGGTGAGGACTTTGCTTGTTGCGTTGTCGTCGTCGTCGTTGTTGTCGTTGTCGTTGTCGTTGTCGTTGTCGTTGTTGTTGTTGTTGTCGTTGTCGTTGTCGTTGTCGTTGCCGTCGTCGTCGTCGTCGTCGTTGTTGTTGTTGTTGTTGTTGTTGTTGTTGTTGTTGTTGTTGTTGTTGTTGTTGTTGTTGTTGTTCTTGTTGTTGTTGTTGTTGTTGTTGTTGTTGTTGTTGTTGTTGTCGTTGTTGTTGTCGTTGTCGTTGTCGTTGTCGTTGTTGTTATTGTCGTCGTCGTTGTTGTTGTGGTTGTTGTGTGTTTTCGTTTCGTTTCGGGATCGTGCGGCACACACCGGGTCCCGCGCCGGGCGCCCGCTGCCCGGCCCCGGGCGCGCCGTCCCTCACAGCCTGTGCTTGAGCCGGCCGCTCCGAGGGAGGATGTGGACGCCGCCAGGCGGTGGTCTCTCACGCCCCTATCGTGCCCTCCTCCTCCTCCTCCTCCTCCTCCTCCTCCTCCTCCTCCTCCTCCCACGTGTGACACACCTCAACTCTGCCCTCCCCGCCCTACCAGGGCGGACAGCGCAGAACCATAGGGGGGTGGCGGGGACGTGGGGGGAGGGAGTGGGGAAGGGGAGGGGCTGCCCTGCCTACCGACTCACAGTGGGCAACGCGGAAGGCTACATGGTAACTCGACCACTGCTGGGCGTCTGTGCCCACGCCACTCTGGGGGAGACCCACTGGCAGGGTCAGCCTGAACACAAGAAAACAGGCACCAGTTTTCGCCCAAGCCAGGGTCCCCACGGCAAAAACAAGGGGGAGTTGTTCAACGTCCCAAAGGGGAGCAAGAGCAGCACTGGTGGGCGAGCGTTCCCCGTCCGCTCACACTCCCCCCCCCCGCCTTGCTGACAACGAAACGGACGGACAGCCGAGCGGCCCTTGGCCCTGGCGGCCTCATTCTGCAAGGCGTCCTGAGGTGTCTTCCTCGAAAGCTGCCGCAGCGACGGCGTGAATTACGCGCCACCTGCCGCCTCCAAGCTGGGAGGGGGCGCGCGAGGAGGAGGCGGTGGAGGAGGCGGCGGTGGAGGCGGAGGCAGGGCCGGGCACGCAGCCTGCATCACCGCTGTCCCGATGTAATTGATGCGCGCCGCACGGTCACTCGACGGGAGGCCCTCGCAGAAAAGATTTTGCAGGGCCAGCTCTGGGGCGACATCTTGGATGCGCGGGCCGTCGCGTGCGAACAGGACCTGGTGTACTGCTGTGGCCCGGCACGCCATTAGGGGGTGGCCAACGCCCACGCCCACTGCACCGCACGCTCCGCAACGGGGGAGCGTGGGTGGTAACCCTCCCTGGCCAAGCACGGAAAGGGGACAGCAACCCGTCATGCGCGTGACAGGCCAGACCTGGTAGTGCTTCCAAAAATTGGTAGCCACCTTCCTGCCAAGAATATTCCAGTCAGGGAGCGACGGGCCTGGGCAGAGCTCGGCAACCGAGCGCCGCAGCGTGGGAGGTACCACCGAGAGGCTGCCTTCCTGAACGCCTGTTTGTCGTCCTCGAGCAGCGCTGGGCGGACGACCTGCCAGCGATGCCATTCCAGGAAGGCCCTTCGCCGCTCGGGATGAATTCTCGCAGCTTCTAGCCGTTCCCCAGCGCACGCAAGGTGCTTGTCCAACCGTAGCGGCGGCGACGGGAGGCGCCCTGCAAGTGCGACAACAGCGGTGTCCCAAGAGGGGGCGTGCAGGCTATGGGAGGCCTGTCACGCCCGAGTGACAGGGTGGCCAAACGGGAGGACGGCAAGCCTGGCTTGCGACATCAAGGCGCGCTCCAGAAACTTTGTGCCTAGTATCAGCGGCCACCCGCACTGGGCCGCGACCTCGCAATGACGCACGGGCGGACAGCCGAGGAGTTCGCGGCCCCACTCAACTTGGAGGCGGTTCGGCGCCGTTCCAGCCCCTTCGGCTAGGGCCGGCAGCGGGGACGTGCAAAGGATCGCCGATTCCACGCGCGGAGGGACTAGTGCCGCGGCTACCGGGGTGGAAAAGCCACCTCGCTCAGCTGCCTGCGATAATTCATCAATAAGATTCATACCCCGCGCAAGGGTCTCCTGAAGCAGCGGCTGGAAGGTGAGGTCTGAGCTAACTCAGACGCCCAGGAGGCGTTCAGCGCGGACAACAGGTGCCCACGCAGAGAGAGGCGGGGGGGACACCAAGCAGGGGCAGGATAGCCGTCTTGCCTTTGTCGCAATTGAAACACGCCTTGACACGTCGGGCGTAGCGACTGCACGCCGACTATTCCTCCTCGGGCAACACCGCCCTGACGGCCCACTCCGACGGGCAAGGCGTTGCAATGTCGTCTACAAGCTGCGGGGGAGCTAGGTGGATGGCCCTTATACCCTCAACGACGGCCACGCGGTCTGCCTGCGACGGTAGTGCGCTCAAGGCCCCACGCAGGAAGTGCCTCGCCTGTGGCCGCGGCGTCAGCTCGGCCGCTGCCAGACGCGACGCCCCCTGCACGACGCCATCGAGCTGCGGTTCCCCCCGTGGCGGCGCGGTGCTGTGCATTGGCGGCATGGCCCCCCCGCATCGGGAAGTGCTGCCTGGGCGAACGGCGGCGCTATCGCGCCGCAGCCCCCCGGGAACACCTCCGAAATGTCATCCGCGAGTCCGCGGGGCGGGGCGTTGAAAGCACGCGCGGAGACATCCTTACCCTGGGCAGCGCCACGCAAAATTATGAAAACAGGGCTGAGCAGCCCGTGCAAGCAGGGGCGCCGGTGGTCTTGCGCCATCACGTCGTCGAGGATGAGCCAATCTGGCCCCTGCACGCCAGCCTGGAGACTCCTAACAACATGGCGTGGCGGGGCGCCACGTCACAAGCCCACTTCCCATCAGCGAGGGCCCACCAGGTGTGGAGGCCCTGCGCGTGGCGCGGCTGGGCCTGCAAGACTAAGACTAGGCCCACGACAAGGATAAGCGCGTCACCGACGCCCCCTTGCTGGCATGGCCCGCAAAGCGGCTCCAACATACCGCTGTTCCGGGTTCTCCAGAAGGCGTCTTGAATTGACGCCATCTCCGTGGCAACCGAGATCGACCGCAAGGCTGTCGCGACACGCGCGATGGCCGGGCCACCTTTTCGGAGTGGCGTGATCTGCCGCAGCGACCAGATCTTCGCTGTCACACAGGCGGCGCGCGCGAGGTTAATGGGGGACTTAGTCAGGCGTATCCCGGCAGGGGCCTCTGCAGCAGCCGTGAATCGTGCGCTTTTTTGGCTTCAGAGCCTCCAGCACCGCGATCACTTCTGCGTCTGAATACGGGCGGGGCGGGGCAGGCGCGCCCACCGGCGCGCCCGTCTGCCTGATCGAGGCAGCCCGCCTCTCCACGGCCTCCGCGGCCTCTGGGTCTCGCGCAAAATCGCTCCTATCGCGCGCGTTTAAATTACGGCAGACAGCCTCAATCATCGCAGAGGGAGACATTGTGACACCTGTGCTCGGGTCCGACAGTCTCGCGTCGAAACGTTTCCGCGCCTTGAAGAAAGCCGACAGGGGCCGCTCCGCGGCGCCAGGGCTGACGTCTCGAAGGCGCAGGAAATTGTTGACCGCTCTCTTGCGATCGCCCCACGCTGCGCGCGTTATTTCCAATGTGGATCCTCGGCGCGACGCAGAACTTGCTGGGTCGAGCAGCTTGCGCGCGGCGTCCAGGGAGAGCCGCCGTTTTTTGCCCCCCGGCACCTTGGCGGCGCCAGCCGCGTGCCTTATTGTGGTGTAGACGGCGTCGCGTGCCCATGCCGCTGCGTTGACAAGCGCACGTCTTTGCGACCTGCTGGCGCTGCCGCCGCGCCACCTCGGCCGAATCCACGCCGCGGCGGCCGCCCCTTCCACGCGCCGGCAGAGCGCTTCGAGGGCGCCGGGGGTTTCTCTGGGGCCTTCGCCCCGCCAGGGGCCGGACGCCCAGGCAGCCCCGCCCGGG